TCATTCTATGAGACTCAGTTGTTCACTTAAAGGTTGTTGTATTGTTTGTGTTGTTGCTCATCCTGTATGCTTCAACACTCATCCTGTATGCTTTGATGCTCATCTTGACAGAGAATATTTGGTTGTTCATCCTACATGTTTTGATGTCCATCCTGTATGTTGATGTTGATTTTGTCTGATATTCAATTTTCATTTTACTCTTTAGGAATTGGATCTTGGAACTAGGTTCTTACATGTGATGGTTAACAGGATGGGGCCCCTTATCCCTGACCTGAGCTAGTTGTTTGAAGAAGCCAGTCAAATTGGCATAGATGGACACAACATGTTCTATAAATTCTTTAACAGCTATGCCGAATTCTTGAAGAGAATGGCAGCTCATGCAGGGAAAAAGGCTGAAGATGAAGAAGTCAACTCAGTTCCCGCTGACCCAAATTAGAAGCAAAATCCAGATGGCTCTCAGATACCCGAGTATGAAAAGCCAGCGGACCCAAAAGTATGGGGTTTTGACACTGCAACATAGATGGAGAAATGGTGGAATTCTCTGGAAATGTTAGAATCCATTAGGACGCTTGACTAGGTTATACAGGAGGCCAAACGTAAAGTCCAAGAACTTTCAACTGGTCCGAATTGGTCATTGAATATTTGTCAAAATTTTCCGCAACGACTTCTCAATGTTCCCGAAGAAAAAGACTCCGATGCTAAGAGTCTTCATCATGATAACTCATTCACTAGCCGAGAACTTGCAGCTGTTGAAATTGCCATTCAATTCCAGCGTAATGAACATCCAATGACTCCACCAATCGCTAAGCCGCCAACTCCACAAACTCTTGAGAGAAAACAAGATTCTTTACAGAAGTACATTCATAGGTATGCATTTAAAAATTTAAATTTCAACCCATAAACTCTGATACTCATCCTATTAAAGTATGATGTTTAACTTACTTTCTGTAATTACAATAAATCTGACCATGTTAAATGTATTTTGTGTTCAAGTGTTTTCACCGGTGCAGAGATCCAGAGCAAAAACCAGGATGAGGAACCATAAAATTCTTGCCGACTTCGTTTTCTCAGAACCAGATGGTGAAGGGCTAAACTTCAACCGGTAAGCAGGATAAGACAATGTGCATCTGTTTAAAATACAATGTACGTCATGATAAAGTATAATGTTCATCCTATTAAACTACACTCTGTTGCAGGGAAACCCTGTATATGAGCTATGAAGCCGAAACGATGGAAAAAAATCATGTGATGTACCTCTTTTTGGAAAGGCACAGTTTAAAGTCATTCCGTATTCAAAAGCAGCTGTACAACAATGTTATTGGTGTTTGGTCGCTCCATCTGAATGAGCTAGAGAAGTGGAAGATCTTCTGGAAGAAGAAGTATTTTTTTCACCTCCTCAGTATTTGTAAGATTCTTTTACTCATCACTTATTTTTTGTAATTTAATATGCATATCCTATGTTAAGAATTTAACGTCATTAACATATTCTTACAGCTCTTATACAAAGCAGACAAAAAACGGGTCAACCATTAGAAGAAGCCATCCAAGCAGGATATGAGAGAATAGCAAATGACCTTGCATCCCAGAATGGGTGAGCTAAGAGCCTTATGTTAAAGAATCTGATAAGTTTTTCAAAGCCCTTCTACGGCTCACTAAAAGATTACAAATGTGGCGTTCCGGCATATAACACAACACCGGTAAAACTATATCATTTTAATCCTTTCCTATTATTTTCAGCGTTTACCTTATCTTACATTATGTTTGTTTTGTTTTGTATTACTGTTTTCGACGCTTTTAAACAGAGGACTAAAGTTAACCTGCAAAATAGCCTTAACACATTGTTGATGACATATCTAGCTAAGATCCTGCAGTCAAGAACCAACAGCTTGTATATAGAGCTTTATAGGGCAAAAAAAGTCTTATGTAAATTCAACTAGTGCTCACTGCTAGTACACTTCAATTTTGGACTTACCATTCCAGGAGTTTGTAGCTACAATATAAATTCAACTAGTGCTGAAATCTCTGAAAAGTCTTTGATCACTTTGGAAGTAGAAAATTCATTATACTATTTTGTTGTTCACTGCACCAGTTTAAATATGTATCCTGTTACTGCAATGTTCATCTTAGATTCATAGTCCTTATATGTCAAAAGTCTTGTAAGATCATCTGGTTAAACTACAATGTTCATCCTGTAAAACACAATGTTCATCTGGTTAAATTTTTTAAATTTTAATTTTTTTTTTAATTTGGTTGAAAATTTTTTAAACTGATTAGGCTAATTGGTTTTAAACACGAGACCCTAGCCTAATTGTTTTTAAAAAATGTAAAACGTTAATCGTTTCCCGGCACAAACTAGTCCCTAACATATGATTGAAATACTTAAACCCCCTAAACCCTAAACCCAAAACCCTAAACCGACACGGAAATGAATATTTTTAAATTTTTTTAATTTGGTTAAAATTTTTTTAAACCGATTAGGCTAGAGTCTCGTTTACGAGATCCTGTCTTAGTTGGTTTAAAAATATTTAAAAGGTTAATTGTTTCCCGGCGGAAATTAGTCCCTAACCTATGATTGAATTGCGTAAACCTCACTCGAATTCTAAACCTTAAACCCGAAATCAACACAAAAATGAATATTTTTAAATTCTTTTATTTTGGTTAAAATTTTTTTAAACTGATTTGGCTAGGATCTTGTAAAAACAAAATTTAAAAGGTTAATTTAAAAAAATTTAAACGAGACCCTAGCCTAATTGGTTTAAAAAAATTTAAAAGGTTAATCGTTTTGTTGCGTAAACTAGTCCCTAACCTACGATTGAAATACTTAAACCCACGTAAACCCTAAACCCTAAACACTAAACCCTAAACCCTGAACCATAAACCGACACGGAAATGAATATTTTTAATTTTTTTTAATTTTGGTTGAAATTTTTTTAAACCGATTAGGCTAGGGTGGTTTAAAAAAATTTAAAAGGTTAATCGTTTCCCGGCGCAAACTAGTCTGTAACCTATGATTGAAATGCTTAAACTCCCTAAATCCTAAACCCTGAAGCCTAAACCCTAATCAACACAGAAATGAATATTTTTATTTTTTATTTTTGCTTTAAATTGTTTTAAACCGATGAGGCTAGGGTTAGCCTAATTGGTTTAAAAAAATTTAAAAGTTTAATCGTTTCCCGGCATAAACTAGTCCCTAAATGGATTTGAAACTTCTAAAATATTATTTTTTAATTTGGTTGAAATTTATTTAAACCAAAAATTTCCAAGTTAATTAATTTGCATCTGATGAATACTATCATCTTGATAATAATTAAAAAACACATATGAATTTTTGAAAAATTTTGTATCAATATAAAAATTCAGTAATGGTTTTCTATCGTGCGTTTAATAACGTACAATACACATCCTATAAAACTGTAATGAGCACCCTAAATTCCAACGTCTTTCATTGGGAAAAAAATATTATACAAATATGATCTAACTATAATGTTTACTTCAATGCAATGAATACTTATCCTGTGAAATTGTAAAGGTCATCCTATATCTAAAGTTCACTGCAAACCGCAATCTCAGGAAACTTGATGTGCATGTTCTACTACCTGGTGCTCATCCTGTAAAACTATGATGTGTATCAAGGTCTCCATTTTCTGTTAATCATAGGATTAAGAAAAAACAACTTATAATAACAGAATTACAACGTTAAAAACCAATAATATATGTTCATAACACCAATTGTTAAGAAAAAAAATAACATTAAAAAGTAATTATTGTTTACAAACTAATAATTAAAAAAAGTTCAGAAATTTGTCTTATAAAAAACATGTAAATCATGGGCTCTGGGGAGGCACGGGTGCAGCGACATCGTGGGGAGGCATGGGTGCTGCGACATCTTGGCCAGCATTCAAAGGAAGTATTGCTTGGTACTCATTTTCGTATTTAGCAATGTCCAATGCCAGGAACTTAAGGTCTCATTCCAGGAACCTCCTTTCGTCCCGACGCAGTTGACGTAGATACGCCTGCCTTGCCTGATCATCCTTATTATATATGGCATGTAAATATTTCAAAACTCCTTTGTCGCAAAAAACAAACTGTAACAATTTTCATACTAACCCTGTTGGGGAAATCCTCATTCAGTCGTGCCCTCCTCCTCCTTATGTTACTGGAATCTCTCAGAAATTGTTGTGTTCTTTCCGCCATCATTCTCAAAAGATCAATCCTTGCTTGCAGTCGTGTTACATGAAAACACAAAAATTAGAAAATAATCACGTTTAAGTTGCAAAAAGATAGAATACAAAGAAACAAAAGGGCATACCGTTGTTCATACCGTTGTTCCTTTCAAGCATTCTTTGATGTTTGGTGGAAGAAGACATGTATTTTTGCCAAATAACAGAAAGCTAGAAATGATAGGAATTGCAAGTGTGGTATAATTTGTAGGGGATGGTCTCGATTTTTATAGATGAAATATGTGAATGAACCTATTGATGTTTGCCCCTTGGCTATTCCTCTTCTATAGATAATGAATGTACATTAAAAACCTCCTCATAGCTGTTTGTTTAACATGCACATAGATCCCTTGGAATTCAGATTGGTTCGTGTCCAATGTACATGTGCCTTTTCGTTGAACAATTGTCTGGAGCAGTTTAAGGGGTAGTTATTAATTGCCATAAGCAGTTATAATTAAACAAAATTGCTGTAAACAGTCATTGTTCATTCTGATGGTTTCATTGTTCATCCTGCAAAACTGAACTAAAAACCTCCAAATGTTCATTCCACAACAACAACAATGTTCATCCTGTGAAAAGCCATGTTCCTTTCAGAAAGAGATTCATCTCACAAAGCAACAATGTTCATTTCACAAAGAAGTTCATTTCAGAAAGAAAATAATTTCAACTCCAAAACAATAGTTATTCTAATATGCCAAAATGTTCATCATGTGAAAAACAAATGCACAATTTCCAGGCTACCATTGTTCATCCTGCAAAACAACCAATGTGAATGGTGGTTCACAGGAACTCCAAAAATGGACTTGGCTCACTTTGGGCGGCACCACTAAAACTTTTGACTGCTGTTTGCAATGGTTGAGTTGGACAAACTGGATGCACAAAATTTTCCATGACTTCAGGATTCGTAGACATCATCGTATTGTAAATAACTTTCTTTGTCCTCACAACAGCCTCTTTATTCCTCCTCTTTCCAAGGGTTTGCTTGCTCTTCCTCTCCACAATACCTATCCACCTTTCATTCCAGTCACCAATCAGTCTAAGTTTCTCAGGATCTTTAACACTGATATTTGATGTTGAAGCCTCATCTTTTTCCTCTGCCTTTGCAGATTGCAGACAACCAACTTCGCACTCTACAATGCTTGTCATCATCTTTCAGACTTTCCTCAATGAGTTCTTTAGCTCTCGGGCATGACTCACTTGCTGAAACCAACATAATAAATTTGCTGATAACATCAGACCTCCAAATTGTAGAGCCTACAATCCCAAACCCTGCATTACTACCTGAAGCACTAACGCTGCATTGCTTGTTAGTATTCCTCTTCCACCGAGCCAAAATATAAACTTCTGGAACAGAATTTACGTTGTTCACGTTGTAAACACGTAAATAGTGAGAGCATAACAGTCCAACATCAGAAAACATGTTGCAAGTACAAGAAATCTCCAGTGTCCAAAGATTGAAATGAACCTGATGCGGGAATATGTCAATATTGTTACGCTTCACATAGTACAATACTACCTCATCATTAACTTGTTCAATCGTTGAATGCTCACAAGAAAGTCCATCTTCGTACTGCTGTTGAAATTGCAAATACGCTTCAGTTGAATATAACTCATGTGCATGAATAAGTAAACTCACATCTTTAAACTTCATCTCTGCACGTCCGTTATTACACTAGAAATCTTCACGATTTTCTTTCTTTTGCCAACAATCTACCACCTGCTTAAACTTATCATAAAAAGTACATAGACGGGTACATTTTGGAAGATCCTCGGAAATAGACTTGTTAGTGGTTTCACTCCTCTGCGAAGAAAGTATAACACTAGAAAAACGATCTTTGTTGAGGGTTGGACACCATTTCTGCCTTATGCTATGTAAATGCTGCAACAATTTGTTATCCGCACAGCCATATTTGACACAATCTACAACAGAACAAAAATTATTCAAATTCAGTTAAAAAAACCACAAATTCTGCAAAGATTACTATAATTCTGCATGAATAATAGTTCATCCAAATATTAAAATTTCTCATCTCAAGAAAGTACAATGCTCATTCTAGTAACCACAATTTTCATCACAAATATTTCAGTCAACAAAAACATTTCCACATGATATCTAAGATACTTACTCATTCCAGTAATAGTCAAACTCAGCCCGCGTATCTGTGTGTCTCAGGACAAAATAAAACAAATCCGGAAACTTGTCTTTTGCCCTCAAATGACCAATGTGAGTTTTTTGAATTCTCACTTATGTGCCATGTACACAACCGATGGCGTGCTTCCTTAAAAACATCCGGAATGACACGTGTCATTGATAAGCTTTGATTAGTCAAGAATGTAGCTGGCTCTTTCCCTCCCATTGATTCCAAAAATTTCCTAAAAAGCCACCTGAACGAATCAGCTTTTTCATCTAGTATAAATCCAATACCGAACATGATGTTATAATAATTAATGGTGGTTCATTCCCGTAAAAGGCGCACACACCAACTTGTATCATGTCGTCCTATATGTTGTGTTGTGCACTACCGAATCCCCAAACACCTCGTAGTCTGCCCTCATTTTAGCATCTCCGCAAAAAATAGCACAAAGCCTAAGAGAATTATCATAATAGTAATCAAACAAAAAATCAGCTTCATTATTTTTCCTCAAAGTCAGTATCCGCAACAACTTATTCGCATCACCACCCTCTCACTTTGCACGTTCAAGCGCAACTTTATTCCTTGCATCAGTGGTAGTGTAATTAAGATTCGGAGCCGTGATCCTGATTGCTCAACATCCTGTACCCATTCGAAAGGAACCACTCTCTTTCATCTTTGCCAAAAGATGTACATCATTGTCTGGCATATTTCTATGAGAACGATCCAAATGAGACTGAATTTCAGAAATCCTATCCTGGTTGTTCTCTAATTTGTGCATAACCACCCTCCAAATCCCTTCCCCATTCACCTTAATCTGAATCATAGCTTTGAACCCTGTGCGCGTGACAAGTTTGTTTCGAATTCCTTTCCCTCTACTTTTTTTCTTCCCTTATTTATTACAAGTAAACTGTTTCACATGCAATTCACCACCCGCCCTGTGTCTGTTTCTAAATTTCTTCATATAGAAACCATGTTTCCTCACATATGATTCATAACATATATACGCATCGTCAATTAAATTGAATTCACGGCCAAGAAGATCTACATCTACAAAAAATAGAAATGAAAAAAAGTCAGATGTTCATTGCAGTGACCATAATTCATCAAAAAATGAACTCTGCAAAACTATAACACGAAATGCTCATTTTATAACACTACAATGCTCATTGCAGTAAACATAACTATGGTTCAACTAAAACTCCAAATTTTCATCTCAAAGAACTACAAATGCTCATTCCAGTAAACAATGAACTACAGTTCATCTAAAACTCAAAAATATTCATCCCACGAAACTACAATACTCACAGCAGAAAATATACAGAAAACGTAGAAAATAGCCATAAAAATTAAACAAAAATATTTAAAATATTGAATTTCATTCAATAATAAAGAAATTCAGGTTCACCTCCAACAGAAACGACACTTTCATCAAATCCTTCTGCATTAACAATTCGTTCATCCTCTGATTCTTCGTTTGAATAAGGAACAATGGCAGCAGACATTCCTTCCAAACAGCTCATCTACCAGACCAAAACAAATGCAAAAAATGCAATAAATCACATAGTTCTGAAAAAATTTATACGATGTTGCTGGTGGAGTTCCAATTCATACGACAAAGCCGATGAGATTCAAAATAAATAAAATTGAAACAGGAAACTAAATTAAATCGAAGAATTATCTTAGAGTCACCGTCAGGAAACTAAATTTAATTGAATTGATGTTAAAATATCTACGGATGAAGTTCTACGTTCTAATAACTTCAATTAGTTCGTAAAATGGGGAAGAGACACATTTTGTTTTCAATGCGCGTAAGTAGCGTCCAATTTTTTTTTAAAATTAGAGACACATTTTTTTTTAAATGTGTATTACACACGCCCAAGTTAGGGAGCTCCGGGTGCTTTGTATTATTTGCGGGGTATGTACACCTCTATTAATTTGTATCTGGAAAAGGAAAAAAAAGGTTGCCTTTGCGAAATAAAAGAGTTGATAAATATATATATATATATATATATATATATATAAGAATTCAAAATCAACGGAATTCGTTTTTAGGCCAAAAGGTTTCCAATTATAAAATCTCATGTTTGTAGCCGACCACTTTCCTTGAGTTAAGGTTTATAAATAGCATTACTGCGGTTAATTATAATAAGAACCCTAGAGCCCCCTACAATTGGAGGTTGTCCGTTTGGGTGAAGAAAATCAGGCTGGCCTCTATCGGGTTTCGAAGGATTATCCAAAACGGTAGCAATCGCAATGATGATGATTAAGACGGGGAAGAAAAAAGAAAGGCATATTGCGATCAAAATCCATATTGAAATTTTAGTTAGGTTACCGTTGAAATCTTTAGGCAGATTCCGATGTGTTTGCAAACGGTGGAATGACCTAATAAACGAGGTGAAGTCACGATGAAGCTCATGGAACGAACCAAGTGGGTTTATGTTTACAGAGATGAAAACATGGACGACAAGAATCACAAAATATGCTACCAATGATACGGTATGTTTATTGAAAAAGTGGTTTCCACGAGGAAATATCGTATAAGGAACCCAACAACCAACTATATTCTTGATCTTCCAGAACCCAAAGGAAATCGCAAGGGCATGTGCATATTCTACCTTCTGAAAACCAATGATTATAAGTTGGTTTATGTAGATTTTAGGGGAAGTAACACTACAGGATGCTGGGTTCTGAAAATTGGAACGGATTTGGCCTGGAGAGACATCGGTAACTTTTCCGACTCTCCATGTATTGATCTTCTAGACCTAGAAGACACATGTTACATAATCTGCAATTCTTTTTTTTTTTTTTGTTACAATAGAGGAGGCCGAAGGCTTAGAGTCTTACATTTCGGGGGTATGAGACCCCTATTATATCATGTTGTAGCCATGGCCTAACGCTTGACGGCGGTACACCAAACTTCTGTAATCCAACTGGACCAAGGGTAGCTAGAGAGGCTAAGTAATCAGCTGCGAAATTAGCTTCACGAAACACATGATCAAGCTCTACAGTCCAATCCCGATGCAACAGTTCCCGAATCCCGTATACAATCCCCGCATAGACTCCAAAAATGTCAGCATTCCCTTTCACCATAAGTAAACTACTTGAATTATCCACTTCTGCCTTCACCTTCTTATATCCAAGATCCCATGCTAGCTGCAAGGCTTGAAACAGACCCCAAAGTTCTGAACCTGTGATGGTACAAAATCCTACCTTTATCATGATTCCGCCTAGCCATCTACCATGGCAATCCCGCACAACTCCACCAGCACATCCCACCCCATTATACATATTAAAACTGCCATCGGAATTTATCTTTACCCAGTCAACCGGCGGTGGAAGCCATCGAATCATTCTTTCCTCCCATCCCCTACAAACTCCTTGCATCATTTTTTCATGAACAGAAGCCTATAATATACCCCCAACAAACTTCACAATCTCCTCCACTCTCTTCGCATCACTTCCATCAACACCTTCAAAAGTTCGCCGATTTCTTCAGCTCCATATTCGCCAAGCTATAACTCCGAAACAATCCCAGTCTTCGACAAAACCTTCAGATTTTCTGTTTAAGTTATGCCATAGCCAATCCTCCAACTGTAATTTAAAGAAAATTTGTCTTCTATCTCCGGGCACCAAACGAAGCCAAATTTTCTTCACAGCTGGACAGTCGCGAAGTACGTGCATAACCGTCTCCCGGATGGCTACACGGAACTGGCAATTCGAAACATCAGAAATATGACGACGAAACGTTCATCATTCGTCAACAACCTCTCCTTCGCAACAAGCCAAAAGAAATTACGAACACGTTGGGGTCCTGTCCAATTCCATATTAATCTCCACAATCGGCTATTGTTCAGTATTTGAGATGAAGACAAAGTCATATAAGCCGATCGTGTCGAAAGCATCCCATCATCCGAGAAGCCCCAGTACATCCGATCCTCCGCAGCACATTGCACAGGAGCCTTCACTGCTGCAATTCGCAACAAACATGTTGCCGGCAGCCACCCTTCAAATTTCGACCAACTCCATTGTCCATCAATATTCACGAAATCCGAAATTGTAACATTGAGCAGAGCTTGAGGAATTGGTGATCTAGCAAAAGATACCAATGGTTCATCAAAATGCAGCCATCTATCCAACCAGAAACAGACACGTTTCCCATCACCAACCGTCCACCTTATGCCATCAACAACATGCTGCCACACCGACTTCAAACTGCGGATATTAATGGATCCTGACAGAAATGAAAACTCCGTCGTCAATTGTAACGAATCAAATCCGTATTTAGCCTTTAACGCTCTAACCCACAAGGACTCCGGCTTTGTTAACAAACCCCATGCCATCTTCATTAGGAGTGCTTTGTTCATCCGTCTCAAGTCCTTCAAACCCAATCCACCCTCCATCTTGGGTCGACCCACATCATCCCATGAAACAAGACTCATTTTGTGTTGACCCACCGTGCTACCCCAAATAAAGCGTCGACACTTTTGCTCGAGACCATCACAAATCGATGCCGGTAGAAGCACCGTTTGCATGGCATAATATGATAAACAGCTAAGGGTCGATTCAGTGAGTACTACTCTTCCCGCCATTAACAATGATTTGGCTTTTCATCCCGCTAGTCGACTATCGGCCCTCTCCAAAATCCCAGCATAGGTTTGTTTGTTAATACGACCGTATAAAATTGGCATACCCAGGTAACAACCCAAGTCGTCCACCTCTTTAAAGCCCAACCCCGCTGCCAAAGAGCTCCTCAACTCCGGGGCAACCTTTTTTGAAAAAAATAACTGAGTTTTCACCTCACTCACTTTCATCCCAGAGGCCATACAGAAACGATCCAAAACTGACTTGAGCACGTGACATTGATCTAGAGATGCCTTAATGAACAATGAAAGATCATCCGCAAATATTAAGTATGGTATTTTGACAGATACTCGTCCCCACGAAATCGGCTTCCATGCACGACTCTCCACCGCCTCATAAATCAGATGCGCTAGCCGCTCCATGCACAAAACAAAGAGATTAGGGGATATGGGATCCCCTTGCCGTACTCCTCTTGACGGGGAAAATTCATCACAAATACTCCCATTCCATAACAACTGCATCATCACCATTGGACAGGCAGGGTGATTGACTGTCCCGTGAGTTTCACAACAACTGCATGCTTCCAATCCTTTAGAATTTCCTCATGAAAACGATCAGAAATCCGAAGGTCCGGCTTCAGTTTGTCAAAGTCAATGACAACGTCATCCGGGAATTCACTTTCATCTTCCTCATTAGAAGGCAAATTAACATTTGGTTGATCCTTACTGAACATATCTTGCCATGTCATCCTAGGCGGCGCTGCCGGTGGAGGCTGCCCCCCTTGCAGCAAAACCCTAGTAGACTGTCCTGGAGACTCACCCATCTGGCCAGATCTCCGTTTCTTGTAGTATCACCCATTCACCATGCGCGGAACTGCATCCTTCAACACAGGGAAATCCAACACAATCTGATCTGGGGGGATCAACCCTGGGATCCAATTGATGGTTGATAATATCATGTTTGTCAAGAGCGTTCTCGTTCATGTTCATGTCAAGAGTCGAAAGTCCCAATGAATCGGTTTCTTATGGCTTTGTCTTTAATTCATAATCTGCAATTCTAATCTAGTTTGTTTGGAAATCGAAACCGATCAGTTTACATATGTTGAATATCCTAAGGGTTTGGCCACGATGGAATTGAAAGGCAAAAATGTGTTGTGGTGGGGAAAAGAGAAGTTGGCTCTGGTTCATCATATGGTGGGACAAGAGTTGCATGTATGGATACTGGAAGATTACAAGAAGGGAATATGGTCTAAAGAAAGATTGTAATTCCATGGGACTTGTTTGGCGGTGTTCAACCACATACTTTGGAAACCCTATCTCCTTATGGCTTTGTAGTTCGAACTAATTGGTTGTGGTTTAAGAGGAAGGATGGATGTGATGTTGGTTATTACTTGGATTCTAAGCAACGTGAAGTCCGTAGAGATCCATACGACAAATTTTTCCACTATCAATATATTCCTACGTTGTTGGATTGTGGAAAAGGAATCAATTTTGGAGAGTAATTAGAACGCCAGCAGGGAGATAAGTAAGAAGGATCGAGGTTACAAATAAACTGCTTTTCGTGCTTCTTTAACATCTTACATAAAGCTCTATGCGGCAATTTATTGGGTACACCTGGAGGCACCATAACCCCCTCTTATTTTTTACACCACTAGCCCTTACTACACTTTTTTTCACTTTTCTAAATAACATCCTATAATTTACAGGTTTAGTCCCTTTGATTTTTTTCTCTCTCCTTTAAAAAACATCTCTAATATTTAAACGACCATATCTCATGATCCGTGAAGAATTAGAGAACGTATTACACATGAAAATTATAGTACTCGTCGAGATATATCCAACAAGATCCATGTCGAATATTTTTTTTGAGTTTAAAAATGACTAAATTTTGATGGACAGAATAAGATGGATATCTAGTTCAGAAAGATGCATAACCAGTTTAGTTTAGATTAAGATTCTTGTATTGCATATATCTCTTGATCCTTAAAGAATTAGAATACGAATTCTACATTAAATTTATAGTGCTCGACGAAATCTATCCGATAAGATCCATGTTGAATATTTTTTTTGAACTTTAAATGCATTTAAATTTTATGGCAGAAATAAAGAAATGTGTTTTTCGTTTTTCTTTGAAAAATGGTTATCCGTTGCGTTCCTACTGATTATCCTACCGGTTTGGACTGATTATTCATTATGTTTGTACTTGTTATCCAATCATATTTTTGACATTCATTCTTCAAAAAAAAAAGAAAGAAAGAAAAAAAGATTGGATAAGCATTGCAAACAATTTGGAAAATCAATAGAAAATAATTGGATAATCACTGCAACACGTTGAATAATCAGTACAAAAAAGTTTGACAATCATTTTCATAAAAGAGCAAGGAAAAAAAACACAAACAGTTTGGATAGCCATATAAATCTGTTGGATAACAAGTACACACAAGTTAGATAGACACACAAACCAAGAAGTGGATGGATATCCAGTACAAGCGAGTTGAAAATCCAGTACGAGCGAGTTGGATATCCAGTACAAAGAAGTCGGATATGTATACAAACCCGTTGGATTACAACTACAAAATAAGTTGGATAGACATACAAACCAAATGGATGGATATCCATTATAAACAAGTTGGATATCCATTTCAAATAAGTGGGATATCCATTACAAACAAGTTGGATAGACATACAAACCAAATGGATAAGTAGTACAAACAAAATGGATAACCAGTTCAAACTGATTAGATAATCAGCATGAACACAATGGATAACCAATTTAGAACAAGTTGGTTATTCATCTTGTAAAATGGATATCCATATTTATTTTACCCATCAGAATTAAGTCATTTTTAAGCTCGGAAAAATATTCACTATAGATATTGTTTGATAGATCTCGACGAGTACTATAAATTTCATATATAATTCGTTCACAAATTCTTCACGGATTGGGAGATATGCTCGTTGAAAGATTAGAGCTTTTTTTTTAGAAGAGAGAGAAAAAATGACAGGAACTAAACTTACAAAATATAGAAAGATTGATAAAAAAAGTACAATAAGGACTAGAAATGCAAAAAATAGGAAGAGGTACACGGTGCCCCCGGGTATACTGGATATAGACTCGCTCTATGCATCCCTGAACGTTCATTAATTTTCTTGGATTTTATGTTTTGAAAGGACAATTTTGTTTGATTTATTTTTATTCTATAATGTTCTTTGGATTTTCTTGCATTGGGATTATCCTAAGTTATGGTCACCTCCAGGTGGTGGCGACTCTATATATTGACCTAGTTTCTGCTCTGACGTGTCCATTGTCATCGCGATATATCTACCTTTATTTTCTTTGTGACAAATATTTTAATAAAGTTGATATTAGGATGATTGAGTTTGACTATGAAGGAAATAATTTTTCTTTTGAGATTTTCTAAATCATTTTACCGTAAAATTTTAATTTTAAAAGACGTCAGTTTTTCTTTTTTTCTCTGTAAGAAAATGTCAAACGAGATTACATTACATTACATTACTTTCAAGTTTATAAAATTTAATTCAAACTAAAAAAAAAAACAAGAAAATAAAGTTGTTTAACTTCGCCTATTGTAGACTCTCGACCTTATTGTTCAATCCCAAACTCAAATAAAGGATATTTTTTTTAGTTTCTTTTATTTCCAAAAGGCTCGGATTTCAAAACTCGCTTTAGATACCATGAGAGGTTAAGCTGTCCGTGATCAAATTTAATGAACAAACACAAGTAAATAATGATCATATTATATATTGATGTTCCAGATTCGAACTGCAACGTAAATTTTACATATTTCCTTGAGAAACTTCTAGTGTTTTTTCGGAAAGAAAAAGGGTTCAACTTAAAATAAACTCAACATCGATGCTTGGGCATACATCTTTTAAAACTTAATTTGGTCATGGACAATTAGGGTTTCTTCCTGGACCACCGTACAAAATGAAATCCCCCATTAGCTCGTTATTTGCGAATGTTGCATTGTAGCAGTTTGCTGTTGCAGTTAAAAGCTTCGGAGAGTCAAGCCTTCTTGAATACAAGGTCTCATTAAAAACTTGAAGATGTCTCATATAACTTGCTCTCTTAATCCCTTCCTCAGGGAAATGGCCACTTCCCATTTGAGTTGTTGTGCTTTGTTTGCCATCAATTTGTGAGTTGAAGACCAATCCTCCCCAGGCAACCCATGATGCCTTGCTTTTCAGATTGGTAAATAATGAAAATGGCCAATAACCAAGTATGAAGTCATTCAACTGTAGATTCCAGCCAAATTGGCCCTGGTGATCATAGAACGTGATATTAGGTAAAACTTAAAAAGGGAGATCAAATATGATATTACCATCAATGCTTGTATTCAGTAACTAAATCGCTCCATTAACTTTAAGAAATATGGATTTTATTTTTAATTTATTTTGAAAAGGTTCCTGTATATGAATATTGAGAATCTAGTCTATTACATTGCCGTTTACTATATACTAATTTGTGGACTTCTTCTATATCTATACTACTAGCTTTAGTTATTTGACAAAAGGAAAAACCGGGAATTAAATTACTTTTTAGGGTGACTATTTCTTGAGCTTCAATAGGGATTAATAAAAAAAAACTGGATTTTGTATAATAAAAAGTAAGCCTAATGAAATTGAGATTTCCAAGGGTTCATTTAAGTATTCAATTATTTATCTTATCAGATAGGTCACTATTACCTTATAGATAATCACATCAAATTCAGCTTGCACGCCATCTATGGTGGAGAGAGTGGGAAAAGGTGCTCCTAATGCAAATTTGTTACTGGTCTGCACAAAGCCTGTACAATACAAGTTGTAGCATCCAGTAGAATTGAAATTGTCCCCCTATTCAATTTTCACATTTTTTAAAACAAAATAAAAATCAATTTAATAAATGAATGGAGATGGAACTATGAAATAATATCAAATGATTTTAAGATGCATAAATTTCTTGATGCATACCGTCCAGTAAGTAAAAAATCTTGTTCTATTATCTCTGTATAATTCAGGATATACCTGTTTAAATTCATCAGAAGAAAGAAGATCGATAAATTAGTCAATGGTTATTACTGTATAAACATTTCTGTTGTTCTCATAAAATTTGTGATTAACTATTTGAATTATTAATTGAACCATTCCCCATTATAGTCTTTCTCATCATTTATATATACATTTAACAATTAACAGTAAAATTTCTGATCATCATTATTAAAGTTGCTGATTTATTAAGTAATATTTCATAAAATTATATGTTAATAACTTATTGAGTAAAAGTTAAAAAACATACATGCCAACCAGCTATAATCATGTTTTGATCGGAACCCGAACCACCAACGACCCAAATCGCCGAGGAACTGAATTCATTGGGTCTAACTTTGAGGTTCCATACGTTCATGGTAGCCATTGCTCCATAGTAATTTCCTTCATCCACATACATGGCTGCAGACTAAAAAAAAAAAAATATTTCAATGTTAGTCAAAACTCAAAAAAGGAAAAATGTTGGGGAAGAAAAGTATAGTTCCAGTTATGTTGGTATTATATATATATATATATATATATATCTATATATATATATTTATTGACAAACTCCTTCATTATTAAATTATAATACTCTAGAAATTAATAAACTGTATTGAATATAATTTTTTTCCCGTCCCAACTCGGACCAGTACAAAATCAAATAAACTCAAGAAATTAATATGATAAAAAAATTTCAGAAAATTCTGATATAAAAATAATAAGACTCTTAAAAATCATAAATTAATAATGTGAAAAAATTAAGAATGTTTAAGAATGTAGGAGGCTGTCAAAAATAGTTTTTATTTGAAAATTTAAAAAGGAAAGAAATTTTATCTATGATCTCTAACCCTTAAATAAGAAATAATAGGATCAAAAAATACATATGGGAAGTAGGGTTGAAGTTGATTATTTCGTATTTTCCGATAAATTTCAAAAATAAAACCTTTAAATCAATAAAATAATAATCTCTATAAATGAATGAATATATTTTTATGGGCCCAACACTGTTAAAATACAAAAGTGTTACTATATATTTATATAACATATATGGCTAGATTAGGTAACGAATATGCTCTTTTGTTTTGTTTGGTTTTTTTTCTTTTTAAAGTTTTTACCTGTATAGATCATAATTAGAATACATACAATGCAAAGTAAGACACTATTAAATTGTTACATAATTACCTTTTTTCATTTCGATGGTTTTGTTTAATTTGAAGTTAAACAAAATAGACTATTTTTTCTTCGAATGAGACACTTGGATTATGCATGGTTTATTGCCAGTTTGGTGACATTTCTTTCTCCAATGAAATTAACCATACCTACCTGCTCAAATCCACTGCTTGTGGAAGAGGTATCTGTGTCTGATGCAGCTTGAAAATTGCTTTCCTGAACACTGTTAATCCTGAACCTCTTCATTGAGTTAGCACGTGTGGTTTCCTCTTGTGTTGTTCTTTTCACAGCAATGGTTCCCTTAGGACAACTCCCATCTAAATGCCATGACTGCGTTATCGATTTCTTTACACTAAATGGCCTTTTCTGCCAATGCGAAACAAAAAGGTTGTTAGAAAATGGTGTTCTTAGAGAGTTTCAATCGAATTAATTCCAAAAAAAATAAAATAAAAAAATCAATGCTGACTCGATCAAATTCGAATATTCCTGCATGAAATGATACAATGAATGACTTTTGTTTTGAAACTAGTGGATCATTTCAATTTTCAAAAGATATGGAGCTTTTTTTTTTCAAAGGAAACTTCGTTTCGATGCTATATTAACATCACTAAGATGGAGACAATTGAATTTGAACAAACCTGTATATCATTATTGTTGATCAATGGGTGATGATCAAATGCTGGTTGATTTGAGATGTCCGAAGGCACACAATCAATTACGTCGCCATCGCTAGTCTATACATCGACCAATAAAATGCTACATCAATTTTCTGAACCGCAATATTTTAACAAAATCGATTATTATTTTTTAAGAGAGAAGGAAGTAACAGTTAACCTCAATAGACTTCACTGGAGTGGTACTCTGGTCGAACTGGCTCAATCTGGAGCAACTACATAAGTTCATTCCGATCAACAAGAACATTAAAAGAGAACATATTAATCCCATGGACTCCATTGATTTTCTGCTAGCTCTATTTCGAGTTAGCGAGTGAAGAAATATAAATTATGTTGTGCATGGCTACCTTGGGTTTGTATGGGTATTTATAGGCTCTTCAAGTATGCATATTTTGTTTGAACTAGTTAACCCAGCTTTGGCTCTTTGTTGTTAAATTATGCCTTTCGATGTTTTCCTTTTGTTCAAGTCGTTGCAACGTATTTTTTTTCTACTTTTGACTGCCACAAAACAAACACTAGAATGTAAGAGAATCAGTTAAAATTTTTTTTGCCTTGGATCCATCCAAAATGGATTTTTTCAACGCTCATAATTATTGTTTCAGACATGAAATAGTAAGTTTTGCATTTTTTTAATTTAGTTGATTACATGAATTTGCGCGCAATTGGAAAAAGTATATAGAGATTAGTTATGACCTTTCGATTTTGCATGCCAGTGGTGATTTAACGTCTATAATAACATTGGTGCCTGTTTAATAATTTTATTCTTCTCTCATGTCCATAACAAATGAAAAAAAAAAATCCAAGATTAAATTAATCATACATAAGAAAGGTATTGGCGAATAATCTCTTTATTCTCTAAACCCTAGCCGTCTTTGTCAAAAAAAAAATTTCTTCCCCCATCTTCCCTCAGGGTTTGATGAGGGAATTGATTCGAATCTTCTAGTTTCTTGTGTTTTTTTTTTTTTTTGTTTAATAAGTGGGATTTGTCCCCAAGGTATAGTTCCTTCAATAGATTAATTGTGATCTATTAAAAGGGTAGAGTTTTTTCTTGCAGGCATTATTCCTTCAATAGATTAATTGTGATCTACTGAGAGGGTAGGGTATTTGTGGTGTCTTCCGTATTGTTGCCGCAATGTTCATAGTTTCGTTCGTTGCTTCGCACTGTGTGGCTCAAAAAGATTCAGTTATAATAGATTTATGGAATAGATCTATGATTTGGGGGCTTTCATCAGATGGTTAGAGATATATTCTTAATCAGATTAATTTTCTGGCATGTGATATATCCATCGTTGTATTTCGTAGATTTAGATAGGTTTATTCACGAGAAATACAACAATGGTAATAGATTCGATTGTAAGTTGTGTTCTTGTTTCAACTATATCTTTCATCATCAATCGTTGCTGGACGATTTCCAATAAATTGATATAGTTTTTATTTCAAAAAAAAAAGAAAAAAAAAAGAAAGGTATTGGTGAAGTAATTTTATGCACCTCCACTCTCTCTCATGTAGGAGGAAGAAAAAGTTGAAGGTAGTCTCAAATTTAGGAGCAAAGAGTGTATTTTACCATTACAACAATTAAATAAAACATAGTGCAGTCCATGTTTAAGATGGATTTTAGTGAGGAAAGTTTTCAAAAATGAAAATTGGAAAAGTTATGGGAAATGTGTTTTTATTTGATTTTGTCTTGGTTAATTATGCTGGCGGTAATTTGTGGCAAAATTTGCCGACTCTATGTAGACAAACACAACCTCAAACGGTAAGTTTTTATCTTTTACAATCTTTATCAATTTCTTACAATAACTTTAGACGACATAATTTATTTTAGCAGCACACAGAAAGTGTTAAAAGAGACCTACACAGGCTATATCTTTTAGCTATATCATTTTATTTGTCGTTTTAATTTTCTTGATGTTCTACCCTTCAGATATAGCAAAATGTGAACTATGGAAAACATTTTATAAGGACCATCTCGTTAAAAAAAATAAAATAAAATAAAAAATTATAGACTCCTAAAAGACAAATTAAGTGGAACTAAACTTTCACAGCTAAATAGAAACTCCTCTACTAAACTGTTTAGATTGATATATATATTTTATACACACATTTAGCAGCTGATGTATGTCATCATTGATTGTTTATGCTTCTTCATGTAAAACATATGAGAATTAAGTACAATTCCACCCGAAATGGCCCCAAAAAATGAAAATTAATGGGGAAAAAAAGGAGAACCGAAACTAGGTTCCAAAATACTTTTCTGGTTGATCAATTAGTCCAAAACGATTCCCGCCCGTTTTATAGTTTCCCATACATATTATATATAACGACATCACAAATACTGATGTGGAAATGTCGACAAACAAGACCATGTCAAATTAAAAAGAAAACAGACAACGGTTGTGGTTCGGGAAAACAATAATACTCATCAATTTCGTCCCAAAATATAGTTGTCAGAGACAATTTATTTTTTTTAAATGTCATAGATAATACTTTAATCAACTCACCCAATTTTGTTAGTTCCACATTATTGAGGAACTTCCTTAGCTATTTTAGTTACTGATATATGGACATCAAAACATTAGGGAGGAATATTTCGTGTAAACTATCCATTACCAATCAACCTACTCTTTAACTAGTTCATGACAATCTATGAAACATTAAAATATGATAGGTGTCATGAGATTTCATAACTCCAAAATCTAGTATCTATAAATTGAATCGATCTACTCATTTTTCCTTAATTAAAGGGATGAGCTCCCAATTTATTGATCTAAGAAACGTACATAGATTGATTAGCATCTACATGTTCGAATATAAGCTGTGCCACATTGATCCAATATAGCTAATCCTTTTAACCTCCGTGGCAGTGTAGATTCATTAAATTGCATGTGGACTTGTTCTCTACTTCCCAAATTTGCTAGACTATTGCAACTGAGTTGATTTCTCTATAGATATGGCAGAAAGAGTTGGAGGAAAAATTTTGGATACAAGCTTTGATTTCAACAAATGCATGACTCTATTCGATCTAAGTTTCCATGGCCACTTTTTCCATAGCCATATCTATTCGTGGAATTAATGGTCTTGCGATTGTATCTTTTACTCAAATTAATGTACTGTAAGAGGTAACAAGGGACACTTTTTCATTCAACGAGACGATTACTGAAATCGGAACCAAAAGACTTTTCCCTTTCAGTTCTTTGGCTTTTAATTTTCCCCCTCAAAACTTGGTTATCTGCATCAAATTGTGGTATCCTAATTTAGTTTTGCTTATTGTGGAGATATTTTGGTATTGATGTGTACATTTTTTAGTGTTTATATTTTAGTATTTATATTGTGATGTGTGATAATTGATATTTCATCTGTTCAAAAATGATCATCTATCCGTTTAAACTATCATTTTTAGTATTATTGAAACTCTTGTTTAAATAATTATTTCGAGACGAAAAGAATATATAATATTATCTTCTTACTAAATTGAAACCTGCCCCGCTTTCTTATTTTCAAGCCTATCGTAACGCCTTTGTTCCCCTTTATGTATTTCCATATATTTCTCTCCTTCTTCTGTATTTTGCCCAGCCACATTTGTCCGGTTCTTTCTTTTCCTTTAATGAATCTGAATGGAGCATCAACCAAGTTAACAATTCAGCCAGCATTTTGAAGCGAGCCATTTGTCATTTTCTTTTTCTTGATATTTAGAACCTTTTGCTACTTTCTCTATCGTTTTTCATCCAAGCAAATGCACCACAAAAATAAATATAATTAGAACAGAAATGTATAACTTATTATTCCGTATTGCGTGACTTGTTTCTATAATCTAAAAAAAAAATTATCGTCATACACAATAAATAAAACAACAATTTTATGATAATAAAGGGCAAAATCAATTTATTTCCAATTACTACGCTGCGTAAACTAGTATTATTGTATTCAAATTTGGACTAGTGATGGATCGAATTGATGAAACTTCATCGGTGGACCATAGATTAGTTGGATTTGGACTATTTCAAATATTTGATCGTATTTGGTGCTACTTAAGGAGGTAGGTGATAATTGGAGAATTTTTCCTGCATTTTCACTGATTTTCAGTGAAAATTGAGAACTGAACAGCCGATTTAGCAGCATTCCCGAAATGATCTCTCACTTAACGACTTAATAACTCATTGCATTTGTAAGTGGCGATTCGTAAAGTGAAAAACCCTCGTAAAAACAAAGCATCATCTCAACTGCAACTGACACATTAGAATAATATGTAATTTTAAACTTCTTTAGTGGACAGGACACAAAACACTTCATAGATTTCTTAATAGCTTGTTGATAAATGATTCTGTAACTTACTTTGCAGACTGTTTCTTGAGGAAAAACTTAAGCTTCAGGAATTAATGAAAAAGTTCGGAAAGAAAAGACATTCTGAAACTAAAAAGAAGTGTCGCCAAATGTAAAAACTTGGTCATGGGCAATTAGGGTTTCTTCCGGGACCTCCGTATAAGATGAAATCTCCCCAAAGCTTGTTGTTAGCCAATGTTACATCATAGCAATTTGGTTGAGTAGCTAAGGGCTGCGGAGATTCAAGACTTCTTAATTTCAAGTTCTCATCAACTACTTGAAGTTGTCTCATGTAACTTGCTTTTTTAAGGCCTTCTTTAGGAAAATGGCCACTGCCCATTTGAGTTGGTGTACTTTGTTTTCCATCAATTTGCGAGTTGAATACGAATCCTCCCCATTCAATCAAAGTCGCTTCGTTTTTAAGACTAGTAAATATTGAATATGGCCAATAGCCTAGTATAAAATCATCCAATTGCAACAACCAACCATTTTTGCCCTGATAAATCGAGAATAGGTTAATATGATGTGTCAATTTTATTATTCACGATTAAATGTTAATTCTGTATATGTATGTATTACCTTAAAGATAACCACAGAAAATTCGATTTCTAAAGCGTTTGTGTTAGAAAGGAGATGAAAAGGTGCCCCTAAAGCAAACTTGTTGCTGATCTGCACAAATCCTTCACACAGCAGGTTGTAGCATCCAGTAGATTTATAGTTGTCCCTCTGTTCAATTATATTAGAAAAAATGTTTAACAAACAAAATACAACAATATCAAATAATTATTAAAATCGAAAAATAGTACGCATGGGTTTCGTTGACTTACAGTCCAATAAGTGTAGAACCTCGTTCTATTATCTCCATACAATTCTGGGAGAATCTGCAAAATAATAATAATAATAATAATAATAATAATAATAATAATAATAATAATAATAATAATAAAATAAATAAATCAAATCAAGAACATAAATTAGATAAAAAAAATTTATTTTCTTGGTGCAATAACGGAACCCATCGACTTGAACTCTAAGTTATTACATCACGTTGGTATGATTCACCAACGACATCATATTTTATACAGGGCTTTACAATAATCGGATATTCATCTAAAAATATCACTTCAACGGAACTACCAATCGGTAAAATTGTTAATTAATCCGCACCAAAATTTAGTTCCCTGTTTATATACTTTAACTTGCCACCCTCTCTTCAACAATTCACGGATTGTCAACACTAGCCCCCGTTGCACACCACAAACCTCTTCCACCCTATCAGATGAACCAACATATCTCCCGATATACACATTAAATTGTTATGCCCAGGCAATGAGGTCATGGGCTAGTGGTAAGTCTCTAAGTAGATCTCTTGGAAATTTAGGAATTTATTTAAGTTATGCTCAATAAAATTACGACAAACACATTAAGTGTTATTAAGTTAAAAACTTCTTGAAAAGAATGGGAAAAAAAAAATACTTACATGCCAACCAACTACAATTGCATTCAGGTCAGAATCAGAACCTCCAAGAACCCAAACCTGAGACGCACTGACATCATTAAGCCTCACATCGGGGGCCCATACGTTCATGACTGCCTTTGCTCCATAGTACTCGCCACCCTCCACACGGACCGTAGCATACTAAATACAACCAAAAAAAAAAAAAAAAAAAAAAGAGTGATCAGTAAAGTTGAAACCAAAAGATTTTTAAAAACCAAATGTCGAAAATGGAGGCATCTAATTATGAAATGCATTCTTTGTCTATGACAAACCGTACTAGCTTTACATACCTGGAAGAAACCATGGGGCTTTGAATCCGAATTTGCTTGAAAACTACTACTGCTCCCATGGTTCTTGCTGACCCGGAAGCTGTTGATTGAGTTTGCACGGATTCTATCTTCTTGAGTTGTTCTTCTTATAGTAATGGTTCCCTCTGGACAACTCCCATCGAGTTGCCAAGATTGCATTTTTAATTTGTTAACACTATCTGAATTGCTCGACCCTTTCTGTGAATTGGGAAAAGAAATGATTGTTACTAGTAGTCCATTAAACGGAATGTTAATATGTTTGTTTCATTTTTTTAAACGTGTTTTTAGGTATTTTTATATTGAGAATGTAAAAATATTTGTTAGAAATATAAAAAAGTATTCTAAGATAGGACAGTTATTAAACTAAAAAAACCATTAAAAAAAAAGCAAACAAACAGATATCCTTCTTCTTTCTCTTTTTTTTTTTCAAAATAGTGGGGCATAAAATTAACATGTTATAGTCCGTGTTGTGAGCTCAATTTTTTAACGGAGACTCATTTGATCAAACCTGAACGTCATGGTTCTTGAGCAAGGGATGATCAAATGCTGGTTGATTTGAGGCATCCACACAATCTATTACATCACCATCTCTACCCTGCCAATCATAAAAATCATGAGAATGTGTCGAGTCCGTAATAGCTTTGTTCTAAAAAATAAATAATACTCATTCTAATCCCAAAAAAAAAAAAAAAACAAGTGCAAAACCTAACAAAGCAAAAGCAAGTTCTATTTTAATTCAACAAAACATGACTTTGATTGCAGACAGATATTTTTCAAATACAAAGATACCCTAAAGAAAAAGAAACTGAAAAAAAGTGAGTCCTGGGTTTAATTACATACCTTAATGGACTTCACAGGAGTCTGGTCGAAGTAGCTCAATCTGGAGCCATTGCATAAGTTTATCGTGACAAAAACACATAATAAACAAAAGGAAAAGCCTTTGGACTCCATTGATCTTCAAAGAATTAGTTGCTAAGCTTCAAAGCCTCTGAAGGAGAAAGTGTTTTGTGCAGGGCTACTTGGCGAAAATACGTGGGTATTTATAAGCTCTTCAAGTACCTTCTTGAACTAGCTTGTTAACTTGTCTCTTTGCTGTGAGTGAATTATGCGTTGCCAAATGTTCCACTAGTTCCAAACTAATAAGAGGATTTTTTTTTTTTTTTTTTGTCTTGAAATGATTGTTCAAATTTGGTTTTCATATTTATAATCAATTGTATGAAAATTAAAAATTCAAACTGAATATTTATTTTCGGGATAAACTTTTGTATAGGCTTTCTTAAATACGCCATATAAATACTTAGAAACCAAGAATCAGAAACCTTGGACACATCGGAAATGAATAATCTATGGTAATTCATGTTTGCAATGTGAAATTAGGCACCGCCCTTGCCTTTGGCCCGTTTTTATGAATTCCTGTTACTAATAATAAACTTGAGGAGATGACAACGTGGGGAAAAATTTTACTAGCTCCTGATTCCTTTTGTATATCAAGTGCGTGAGGATTTGCGAAATCGTAACAAAATAATGATTAGAAATTTAATTTGAGACTATGGAAATGATAAAAAATCAAGAGTTTAATGTTTCAAAAATAAATTTAAAGACCAAATATAGATTAATATATGTAAATTTCAGTAACAGACTGTTAAAAATGGCTAGAGAAATACATATATGTATTAATTAACTATTGCCTAGAGAATGAAGAGTAGCTAAAAAAGAAGGAGTAATCATGTTTCTTTTATTTTATAGTACTCTCTTCTTTCTAAAATATATATATTTCTATCAATTTCACCATTACTAATGAAACATTAAAATAAATGAATTTGAAATACAAAAGTACCTTTTTTATTATCCATAAAACTGATCATCACCAACTAATACAATCGCATTTTAAGTACTACTCCCTCTGTATTAAATGATTGTTCAGTTTGAATTTTTATCCTTAGTAATTTGTTACAAAAGTAAATTTTAAGCTGGACAATAAATTCAAGAGCAATATTGAAAAAATGGGATAAAAATTTCCTCAATTCTGTAAAATAATATATATTGTAAAACATTTGTAAACCCTAAAACGACGAATATATATTTTAGAACGGACGGGTATAGTATTAATTAACTCTCATACTACAACATGGAGAGAGAGATAAGCCTAATCATGTGTTCTTTTATTTTCTTCAAGTGGACAATCAAGAAGTTAAGGATACTTTTACCCAATATCCCACAAAATTATGAGAAAAAACAAAACAAAACAAAACAACACAAAAACAAGCAATTAAACAACGACAAAAAGAAAACTAAGAGTAGGAAGATTCCGACAAGGACGTGCACCATAATTTATCTTGGTTGATGAAGTCCAAATTGAATTTCTGACAATGACATGAAAAGATAATTTAATCGTTAATTAAATGCTCGATGCATGCTTATGCTTATAGTAACCACCAGAAAAACTGATGAGGCAAATGACGATAAATTTTTTTTTTTTTTTTAGGAAAAAGAAGACTTAGAGAATTTGTCTATGAATAGGAGACCATGTCAAATGATAAAGAAAACAAAATGGAAGCAGTTTGGTGGAGGATGATAAGCAACAAAATTCCGTTTTCCGATTTTAAGCAGAATATTTTGTGTTGAGTAACTTACGCACTTTCTTTTTTCTTTTTTCTTTTTGACTTTAACGTACGCACTTTCGTATTGAGTAAAAAGAACATTCGACAGCATTTTAGCACAGAATCCTCTGTGTCACTTTCCTGTTATACTCACTGTGATATAATTCTATTACTCTTTATAAATTATATAATTTGTGTTCGTACATATACCATTCACAATCATTTTCGAACTTATATATTTTAGAACTAAGAGTTCACTTTTTTCGGGTTAGATCATATTTATTTTAATTTTTATAATTAAAAAATTCAATAAAAATAGTCAAATTTCATTTTAAAAAATTGATATAAAAATAAAAATAAGAATATGAAAATTATCTACATTGAAAATATGTGACTATGGTGTATATATTAACACAAATTATATAATTTATAAAGAATAATTGGATTGTGTCATAGCGAGTGTCACAAGAAATTGCCACAGAGGATCATGTGCCATTTTAGCTACAAAAAATCGAACTAAGAAAAGGAGCCATTCGAATCTCAGATTTTTGTTGATAGTTATTGCTTAATGCACCCAAGAATTATCAAAAACAGCTGTAAACCGTGAAAAAACCTTTGAATGCAAATATTTTATTGATCAACGGTGAAAGTTATTCAAATAAACAACGATTTTTTTAAAAAATAAAAAATCGTTATTTATATAGTAGAAGGAATTCAACTTTAATTTTATTTTTTTTTTCATGGACAAAATTTTAGAATGCCATGAAGGCCATTAAGGAAAGGTATTCAATATCTAAATTATTTTCGTTAATCAATTTCTACGAGATATGAAAAATCATATAATGAACTTGCGTATGGAGTAGTAATCTTCTATATAAATCAATAGTTGTCAAATGTCCAATTCGAACGCTAAAACTTGGAAAGAATTCAGAAAATAAACACCGAAATTCATGTGACTCCATACATAATATGTAACCCTAAACTTTTCTTTGGTAATGAACTTTAACCTTCTTACCGAAAAAATTCATGTGGGCATTTTTTTTATGTATAAGACCATCAATTTATAACAGAGAAATTATTATGTTAATAGAGTTAGGAAAATAGTATACTCTCTCCATTAATTATTTACGTAGATGTACAAGACATATATATACACATGAGACAAACTCTTATGCCGAATTATTACGGTAAATATAAGTCACTACAATACGTCCCCTCAAACTGCTGGCGAAGAAGTAAGGAGCCAAAGTTTGTCTCAAAACCGAAGAAACAAATCCTTGGATAAGGGCTTCGTAAGAATATCAGTAACGTGATCAGTAGCAGACACGGACTGAATCGACACAAACTTTCGACGAACATGATCACGAACAAAGTGAAAATCCACCTCAAATGTCGTGTACGTAAATGAAACACTAGATTGGCAGCAAGAAAAACAGCACTACTATTATCACACCAGACAGACGGAGAGCAACGCAATGAAACACCCAGCTCCGACAACAGATGACACACCCAATGGAGCTGAAGACAAACATTAGCAATGGCGCGAAACTCAGCCTCAGAAGATGCACGAGTAACCGTCAGCTGTTTTCGAGAAGTCCAAGCAAACAAATTAGGGCCCAAGTAGACAAGAAAGCCAGTAATAGAACAGCGGTCATCAGGACAACCAGTCCAACAAGCATCACAGAAGGCAGTAAGAGTATACATGTCTGTGGATAAAGAACCAGACCAAAATCAAGGATACCATGAAGATATCGAAGAACCCGCTTGAGGGCCTGGAGATGAGTAGTGCGAGGCTGATGCATAAACTAGCAGAGCTTATTAACTGCAAAACAAATATCAGGCTGAAAAAAAAATGAAGAGAAACCTATCTCTGATACCAAGTTAGGAAAATAATATACTCTCTTCATTAATTATTTACGTAGATGTACAAGACATTTATATACACACGAGATAAACCCTAAAACCTAATTATTATGGTAAATACAAGTTACTGCAATAAATAGTAACTTACCCAATCTATCTTCTGCATTAACAACTATATGTCAATACTTGAATAACTAAATATCGTTGTCTTATATATGAAAACAATACACTTTGCTTTTGATAAATGCATTAGTCTTTGGACTTTGGGCGTACATCAAAATATCACGTTTGATCTCTTTCAACATCAACAAAGCTCAATTTTGCCGGCTTCATCTTTGTATTATGCTCACTCTATCCCAAAATTATTGTTCAGTTTGAAATTTCACTTTTAGTATAATTTGAACTAGAAATGAAAATTCAAACTGGACAATAATTATGGGACGGATGAAATAATATAGTACAAAGGAATGGATTTACATAAAGAGATACCTCCTTACGCAGCGCTTAACTTTACTTAATTAAGCCCAACATATGTTCTAGTTATATTAAACATTTTGCTTGTCAGTATATATATTCCATCCTCGAACCGGTTCAATTTGACGGTAATAGACTTTTTGTTGTGCTTATCCTGTTGTCACTATCTATCTATCTATTTATATAATTCATCTGTCAAAAATAACTATCAACATTGAATTTTGAAATTTGTATTATTTTAAATACAAATTTGTAATTTTAATATGAATTATTTTTCGAAACAGAGAAGTAGTTTCTAATGGTTTAACTTGGTGTCTCTCTAATTATCGCTAGTATCAGTGTTTTATTATGCTACAAAAATACTACACAATGTAAATTATAAATTATATTATTTAAAAATATAATACGTTAATGTATAGTTTTTCGTTACATGTCCGGAATATTAAATTATTATAAGTAATCCCCTCTTTCACCTTTTCTACCCTCTTACCCTAGGAATATCTTTATTTTTCCTGCTCTAGAGTTGAATTAGTTTACTTTATTTCGTTTCAACAATTCTTATTATAAATTCCATTTAATTAATATCTAATAATATTACATCTTTTACCTGAGTAACATCTTCGATTTGGTTCATCAGATTGTAAGCTTGAAAAATAAAAAAGGAATGAAAGCACCGAGCAAATTAAATTCCTTTTCAATATTCAATTTCTACGGGAATAAGTCCGTGATTTAGCTATGAGACCATTCTTACTCTGTGTGTAAATAGGATTTTGAATTTAAGTCTCAACTGTAATTATATATATGTGTATATATATATATATATATATATATATATATGTATATATACATAGATAGAGAGTGAGAGAGAGTAAAAGTTGGTCTATTTTTCCCTATGGGCATCGGGAGGGTTTGTCTAATTATTAACCTACGTAGTTCATTTACTACTGATTTTTCACCTTCGTCTGCCATCTCAGGATTACTTAGAAAGTGGTTTAGTAATGTAGGTAGCCATCTGTTGGCATCTCGGTTTGGAAGTTATGGCATTGGATACGGATTGGCTGATCAACGATCTCGGTGTTGAAAAAGAAAAAAATCAATTTCGATTAGATCTATATGAAGTTTAGTTATGCTCTTAAGTACAGTAACCAAAAAGAAAAAAAGTTGTTCTATTATGTAGGCCAAAGTATATACCACATTTGTCGATAATTTGATTAATTAATTTAAACTGTCTCTTTTCATTTCTTGATGATGAGTTTTCATACATATTGGGAAACTGAAAATTTGTAGGCGCTTCATTTGTCTATGTAAGCATTCATGAAATAAAACCCTGAAAATTACATAGCAAATTAATGATGAAATGCAAACGAAAATACGTAATTGGTATGATATGGCTAAACCTTAGAGAATCCCATTACATATATCTTTTTTACAAGCTGGAGGAAGATCTTTAAATGAATATGATGCAGTCTAGCCCTTTCATAATGTTAAAAGTTATTTAATCCAGCAACTGATGAAACATTTTGGAAAGAAAAGAGATTGAAATTAAAAACTATAAAGAAAGTAATAACGCCTTGACATGTGATATTCGAGTGATTTGGTTTCATGGGCAGTTAGGGTTTCTTCCTGGACCTCCATATAAAATAAAATCTCCCCAATTTTTGTTGTGTGCCAACATTATGTTGTAGCAATTTGGTGTTGGAGCAGTTATCTTAAGAGAGTCAACCCTTCTTGAATATAAACTCTTGTTGAATAATTGAAGCTGTCTCATGTAACTTGCTCTCCCAAGACCTTCTTCCGGGAAATGTCCACTTCCCATTTAAGTCGTTGTGCTTTGTTTTCCATCGATTTGTGAGTTGACCACAATTCCTCCCCATTCAATTCGTGATGCTGGATTATTTTTCAGACTAGTAAATAACGAAAATGGCCAATAACCAAGTATAAAGTCGTCCAATTGCAGAAACCAACCATCTTTGTGACCCTGTCGATAATGGAAATTAGGTCAAAGAGAGGATCAAATATGATACTACCGCCGTCCAGATAAATAATCCACATTGAATTTTGATATTTATACTAGTTTTACCACAAATTTGAAAACTCAATATGGACTATTTTTCTGGGACGGAGGTAGTACAAAAACTTATATCATAATATAAACCTTGATACGAAAATTGTTACAACATAGAACAATGTTCGATAAATAATAAATTACGTTTACACATTTGCAAATTTATTACAACATAAAAAGACCTTTCTAAACTTAATTCACAAATCACAACTGGATGTCATGGGTTTGTGAGAAAGTTACTTCTTATAGTGAGGAATCTGTACTTTATTAAACAAATCGGTTCCTTAACTCTAGTATTTCCAGTGACTAAATAAGTCCAAACTCCAACAAAATGAAAATGTCAACGGGTTATTTGCATTTAATTATTTGATTGATCATTACCTTATAGATAATCACATCAAATTCACTTTGCAAACCATCAAGGTTGGAGAGATGGGTAAAAGGTGCTCCTAATGCAAATTTGTTGTTCGTCTGCACAAATCCTGTGCATAGCAAGTTGAAGCATCCAGTAGACCCTAAACTGTCCGTCTATTCAAATTTTTCACATTTTAAAAGATCAGAAATTATCATGTTAATAAATTAATAATGAGATGCTAAGATCCCAGAATTTCTCAATATGCTTACTGTCCAGTAGGTGTAAAATCTTGTTTTATTGTCGCCATACAGTTCAGGTAAAACCTATTTCAAAGGAAAAAAAAAAAAAAAAAGGAAGACGAATGATATAAATTAAACAAAATGGTCGTTTTATACAACATAAGTTATTGATGTATATTTTTTTGCTAAATTGAAGTCTAAAAGAAACTTACATGCCAACCAGCTACTATCACATTCAAATCGGAGGCAGAACCTCCAACGACCCAAACCTGAGATCCACTGGATTCACCGGGTCTAACATTTGGGGCCCAAATGCTCATAGTAGCCACTGCTCCGTAGTATTCTCCTTCATCTACTTTGACAGTTGCATACTAATAAATACAAAGCAACAATATTTGTTAAATTAATTGGTTTTGTTTTTCCTGAAGATAGGAAACTGTTTTACTACTGAGGGTCTGAGATATGAAATTCATGTATTAGTAGATTAAACCAATGTGTAAATTGTGATTAGACGGCTTTTCATAATCAAGAAGATTATATTCTGACTTTTGACAATATACTAAATTACTAATAAGCTTTGGTTTTTTTCTTTTGTTAAAATTAAACGTAAGTAGACGAGTATGAATATGACGGAATTAATTCCAGTCTTTTAGAGTAACCGAGTATGAATCTTCGTAGGCTTATAGCCATACAGTGTGTTGTGTATGTAACATGAACAAAGAAAAAAAAAATTACTAGTGAACTGTAAGATCAACTTCTTGTACCTGGCAGTACCAAATAACAATATTAATAAATGTTATTGCCGATTAACTAATTCAAATTCAAGCAAAAACATACAACAGTGGTTAAAATAGTTACTGAAAACATTTGCTTATCGAAAAACATCTATCTGACTCGTATTTGAATTAATGGAAGGAATTCATTTGAACATCAGGTGCGTAATATTAAAAATATATATATTGTTGCTGGAACATATGCATCAAACATGCTAATTTTTTGAAGTCCACTGCAACAATAATGACATACAACATATCACGTATGTAAGATATGCTTAAGTAACAGCAGACGAAATTGATATACTACTCCCTCCGTCCCAAAATTATTGTCTAGTTTAGGTTTTTATTTTTAGTTCAAATTGTACTAAAAGTGAAATCTCAAACTGGACAATAATTTTGGGACAGAGGGAGTACTATTTTTTTCATCCCATTTTAATATTCCATTTTACCTATGTTATTTCAATGTAATAAAGGGGAACATAAAAATGAAAGGGCGAATAATTTTTGTTTTCATTTTATATGAAACTAACCGTACGTTACGTACCTGCCGAAAACCATTGCTGGTGGTGACAGTATTCAGTTCTGATTTTGAGGTTGCTTGAAAACTGCTTTTCTGAACGCTATTGATCCCGAAGTTGTTGATTGAGTGAGCACGAACAATTTCTTCTTGCGTCGTTCTTTTCACGGCAATGGTTCCATATGGGCAACTCCCATCTAATTGCCAAGATTGCGTTATTGATTTCTTAGTATTAAAGGAATTTCGTGACATTTTCTGTTAATGGGAAAAAACATATATGGCTGTAAGGAATCAATAAAAAGGCTGCAAGTGCTTCGTGCGCCCCGAAATAATTGTCCAGTTTATGATTCTAATTTTAGTAAAATGCATCTAAAAATGAAAATATAAAATGAATAATGATTTTGAGACATAAAAAATACTAAATCGTGACATGAAATTTCTAGAAAATTTTTTATGGAAGTTTCAAAAAGTGAAAATTCACTAGTTTCAAAATCTATTATTTTTTGTCAAACTTATTTTGAGACGGAGGGAGTATTTTAATTTCCAAAATACATAGGAGGACTTTTCTAATTAAACTTTCTTTTTGTAAATGTTAACAATATTAAAAGAAAACAAGCTAGATGTGAAACAAACCTGTATATCATGGTTTTTGATCAATGGGCGATCAACTGGTTGATTTGAGATGTCCACAGGTACACAATCTATAACATCCCCATCACTACTCTGCCAACCATAAAAATTTTAATAATTCAGATAAGTCTAAAGTTCAAGTTAAACTAAATAAGAATAATAACAAGCAACCGAAAAAAAAATTAAAAAAAAAAAAAAACAATGTGCATCTGTTGAATACTGAAATATTTCAGTAAAGTCGACTTATTTATTCTCGGAGATGATGAAGAATAAATAGCGAACCTCAATCGGGAGCCACTGCATAGGTTCATTCCGATGAATAAGAACATGAAAAAAGAACACATTAATCTTTTCAACTCCATTGATCGATTTTCTAACTAGCTCAACTTAGCTAGCGAAGAAGAGATATTTTTATGTTGTGCATGGCAAACCTAGGTTTGTATCCGTATTTATAACCTCTTTAAATATTTATATTGGGGGGGGGGGTTTAAAATGGTATATTTGGGGTTGAAGTACCCTAAATTTGGGTATACCGGCTCTCATACGGCTACCAGCTTGGCCCTTGTTGCTAAATTATACCTTTCCAAATTAATAATGAATACAACGTGTTTCTGCCTCTTTTGGGCACTGAAAGAGTACTACATACAAATACAAGAAAGCCAGAAAATCAGGGGAAAAAAAAAAAGAGAAAAAAACATTGAATCGATGCATCGAAAAATGGATCTTTCAATATTGATAATGATCGTTTCATTCCATAAAATAGCAAATTAGGCTATTTCCTTGTTACAGGCGGCGTTCTAATTGTCCTAGATTCAATCATGTGCTCACCTATTTTACTTGTTTCAGATTAATTTGGGATTGTGATTAGTCTATCATTTTGATATCATTATACTTTACTTTTTGAATATTAATAAAATCTGGGATGCTTGACGGATCTCCTCATGGTTCCTTCAAAAAAATAAATAAATAAATAAAATCCTGCAGATTGTTTTGTGCAGAGACTATCTTTGTATTTGCTATACGAAGAGTGAAATTGTTCGAAAATGTTTAAAAATTAGAGAGGAACACAAATTATTTTCTCTGAAAAAAGTTATGATTATAATATTTGTACGAATAAAAAAATATGATAGAAGGCTTTTTCCCGCCAGGTATCGTCCTGGATTTCCCTAAAATATATATATATGATAGAAGGCTGTGCATGGTTTGACAATAATAACAAATTGTACTACAAAGGAGTTATGTTTAATTATGATCATAGCGGCAGCACAAAACCGAAATGGGAAAAGTCGATACATAAACTCTTTAGGTGAAAAATAAATAAGAATAACGATTTTGTCCATACATGAGTCGACCAGGTCAAATGAAAAACAGAGTTGGGAGCAATTCAAAAATGAATTGTTGCAATACGCACTTTTGTACTATTGCAGGAAGCAACTTTCTCAAAGCTATTTTTGCTGCCGGTACACATTAAAAATATAAATAAATCAAAAATCTATCCTTAATTTATTTTAAACCCTTTTGTAATTACCTATGATCAATTTTGTAGAACCCTTTACCCGCGGTCCTGGGAAATATATTTAACCGAACACCAAAATTATTACACAAAACTTTGCGTATCCAATACAAGAACAATTAACCAGTTTACGTATCTTCTAATTTCTTGTGTTTAGGAACATTTACATTAACTGTATGAAACCATTGGTACAAATCAAAAAAAAATATCGATTCCACAAAGCTCTCTCATGTACTAGGGGCGAAAACACCTTGAGTATGTGATTTTTCGATTGACAGTTTTCTTTGACGGTTTCCTTCGAATTCCGTTAGCTATGGCAAAGAAATCCAAGGAAGAAGGGAGATGCGGGGAATATGGAAGCTCAGGAAGCAAGATCTGTGCGAGACAAGCTCAAATATGGATCAAAGTTCAGCTGAAATTTCTTCTTCTCCGGTCAGGAACCCTAGCACTGCATTTAATACTATGTCTGAAACGCAATTAATGAACAGGAAAGTTGGTAATCATCGTATAATTACTGTGCGAAGTGAATCTAAATTGAATGAAATTGATAATTGCCCTGAATCTGGTGATAATACAACTGTTAGGGAGAATGCTTGGGATCGATTTGATGTTTACAAGTTTAAGCCTTAAGAGAAAAAACTTCGTTTAATAGAGCCACAGATTGTGAATGATTGTGAATTTAGTAAGATAACTCGTGAGGAAGTTCAAATCGAGGTTGATTTCTGGAAGCCAGCCATTCTATGCTATGTCTTGGGAGCTAATCCCCCTTTTCTAGTAATGAATGGGTTTATACACAGATTATGGGGTAAAATTGTAGTTGATATAGTGTTGTTGTTAGAAAATGGAGCTTATATCGTGAGATTTATGTCAATTGCTGCAAAGGAAAAGGTGCTTAGACAGCCAATTTATCAGTTTGATCGAAGGCCATTCATAGTTAAAGAGTGGAATGTAACAGATGATATAAAGGTGAATGAGGTTAAAATTGTGCATGTTTTGATGCAACTGCTAAGCTGCCATTGAGATATTGGAGTGAATCTATTCTTAGTAAGCTTGCCAGTATGATTGGGAAACCTGTGGAGATTGATGAAATGACGGCAAGAAAGCAAAGAGCTGCATTTGCTAGGATACTGGTGGAAGTTGAAATCAAGGATACAGTTAAGAACACTATATGGTATGAAGATGAGAATGGTAACTCAAAGAGCAGCAAGTGAGATATGAGTGGAAGCCTGTAGTCTGCCAAAATTGCAAAGGTTATGGTCATTCACACTACAGCAGAATGCAGACTGCCAGTAGTGAAAGATTGGAAAAGGAAGGAACTGACTCAGATAGAAGCAACTTAGAAGAGCACAGATCATGGTAGTAAAGGCAAGGAAAAAGTGGTTGATGAGTCAAGATCTCCAGTTAAACTAATTTTCTGTGAATAATTGGGAATAGCAGGATTACTGGAAACTAAACTAAATCAAGGCAGAATGGATGATCTGATGAAAAGGAAATTGTAGCATTATGATTATATAGGAAACAATGAAGGAGATAATAAGGGGAGAATACTTCTCATTTGGAGGAAAAGAGACTATCATATCAGGCTAGATAAGAAGACACAACAATTTATGCACTGCTTTGTACAGGAAAAAGGAACTAATAAAAAGTTCTTTTTAACTGTAGTTTATGCAGAGTATAATGCTGTAGAAGAGAAGGTTTATGGAGTGATCTTAACATGCTAAAACAGCAGACTGTGGGAAAATGGTTGATAATGGGTGACTTCAACTGTATCCTAAAACATGAAGAGAAACTGGGAGGAACATCAGAGCTTAGTCCTGACACTGAGAAATTTAAACAGTTGATTGAAACTAATGAATGGGTGAAAATGCAGTTATATGGAGGGAGTTACACTTGGACTAACAAGCAAATTGGTCACCTCAGAATATTCTCTAAGCTGGATTGAATTTTAGTGAATGAAGAATGGATGCAGGAATTTGCTGATGCTTGTGGAACAATTCATCCAGCATGTATTTCAGATCATAATCCTGTTTTGATCAGGTGGGGAGATACTAATTCACAAGTTAAAAGATCTTTTAGGTTTTTTAACATGTGGACTCAGCATCCTCAATTTAAAGAGACTGTTACTCAGAGCTGGCAAAAAGCAGATCGAAGGTACTGATCAATTTGTCTTGATGAAAAAGCAAAAGTTGGTGAAGCCAATTCTGAGGGAATTCAATAAAAAATACTTTGCAAGAATTGAGGAGAAGGAGATGATATGCAAAGTAAGGCTGATACAGATGCAAGAAGCAGTGAAACAAAACCCCTTGAATGAGGAATTGCAAAAGCAGGAAAAGGAAACATGTCAGGAATACACAGATACTTGTAAAGCAGTAATGAACTTTTGGTCTCAAAAGTTGAAGGAAAAATGGATTAATGAGGGAGATCTTAATACTGGATACTTCCATGCTGCTATCAAGCAGAAAATAGTCAGAAGCAGAATCAAGGCCATAGTTGCATATTCATGAGAATTGATTGAGGACTCACAACAAGTTGAAGAGCACTTCATCAACTATTTTAAAGATCTACTGGGGAAGAAACAGGAAAAAAAATCCAGCCATTAGTGAGGTATTTCAGTCAGGAGCCCAGTTGACCATTGATCAGCAAATGCAACTGGTGGAAGACTTCACTAAAGAGGATGTTAAGGAGGCAGTTTTTAGTACTGATGAAGGTAAAAGCCCAGGTTCAGATGGCTATAACAGTGGCTTTTACAGGAAAGCATGGAGCATAGTAGGAGAAGATTTCAGTAATGCAGTATTAGAGTTCTTCAAATCCGGGAAGTTATTGAAGCAATTCAATGCAACTACTATAGTTCTGATACCAAAGAATAACAGTCCTAAGAATGCAATTGAATTCAGGCCAATTTCCTACTGCAATACAGTCTATAAATGTATATCTAAAATGTTATGCAAAAGACTGAGCAGGATCTTGCCAGAAATTGTGAATTTAAATCAAAGTGCTTTCGCTCCGAAAAGATTGATCCTTCATAATGTTCTTCTGGCACAGGAATTGATGAGAATGTACAAGAGGAAAACTGCCAAGCCTTCCTGTATGATGAAGGTTGATCTAAAAAAGGCATTTGATTCTGTGCATTGGACTTTTATTGAGGAAATGTTGCAAGGACTGAAGTTTCGAGATAAATTCATCCACTGGATCATGGAGTGTTTACCACCAGTAAGTTCTCATTAAGTCTGAATGGTAACGGTGTTGGATATTTTCAAGGGGAAAGGGGACTCATGCAAGTAGATCTAATCTCTCCCATGCTGTTTGTAATCATCATGGAACACTTAACAAGGTTATTCAACCTTGAAGCAGCTAAAGAAGGATTCATTATGCATCCACATTGTAAGGAACTGCAAATCACTTCACTAAGTTTTGCAGATGATCTGCTGATATTTAGTAGAGCTGATGTTGATACAATAAGGAGGATTAAGGAGATGCTTGATCATTTTGCTAGCACTACAGGTTTGAGTATCAACCTTAATAAATCTAACTTGTATTTTGGTGGATCCTCAGAATCAGTGCAAGAAGAAATTAGAGCCACCATGAATTTTGAGATTGGTTCTTTTCCTATGAAGTATCTAGGTCTACCTGTGTCTCCCACTTCTTGGTCTAAAGCAGATTGTCAGTATCTTGTAGACAAAGTTACAATGAGAATCAAAAGTTGGGAGTCCAGAAATCTCTCTTATGCTGGTAAAACAGTACTTGTGAACTCTGTCCTGATGACACTTCACTCTTACTGGGCCAGCATCTTCTTGATTCCCCAATCAGTGATTCATCAAATAATAGCTTGTTGCAGGAAATTTCTATGGGGAAGTAAGGAGAATGGGCGATGTTTGTCACTGATAGCATGGGATGATCTGTGTAGAAGCAAAGAAGAAGGAGGCTTAAACATCAAAGAACCAGGAGCATGGAATAAGGCTCTACTTGGGAAGCAACTGTGGGACTTTCACTTAAACAAAGAGAGTTTATGGATCAAATGCATGCACATCTACTACCTCAAAGGCAAATAAGTGTGGGAATATTCATGCCAGCAGACTGTAGCTGGCATTGGAGGAAACTAATCAGAGTGAAGGATCAACTGCAAAATGATGTTCAACATGGTCAATGGATGGCAAACAAAGGCAAAGGTTATACAGCTGGAAGTGGATATCAGTGGCTGAGAGGAAGGAAAGAAATGTTCAAGGCAGGATTGATAACTTGGAATAAGTTTTCTGTGCCAAAACACAGCTTTGTGAGCTGGCTGGCCTAGAAGGGAAGGCTGTTAACAAGAGATAGACTAGTGAAGATGGGAGTACAAGTGAATGATCCACGGTGTATCTTATGCAACCAGGAAGCAGAATCCATCCAGCACCTCTTCTTTCACTGTGAATATAGTACTGAGTTGATCAAGTCTATAGCAGATGGGCTGGGAATAAGACGGCGCATTATCAGTCTAAATATTGGCCAACTTTTGAACATATGGAAGACCAAAACACTGAGAAGGATAAGCTGCTGTTTGCTTGTCTAAATGCAGTAGTTCATCGTCTTTGGACAGGAAGAAATGCCAGGATCTTCAGATCATCATCAGAAAATGTAGCTCAAAGAAGTTGTAAAATTCAGAATGAAATACGTTTGAGGGTATTGCATTTGTATAGAAATGGTAGTGGTGATGATGTTCGGTTTTTGGAAACTTTAGGCATACAGTTTAGAAGCTAATACTTGTATATATATCCTTCTTCATGATGAGTGAAATTCACATGTTACCGAAAAAAATCAAAAAATTCTATATGTCAATAAAGTTAACGGTAATCCTTTATTCAAAGAGCTTGTACTTATAGATGTGTCGTTATAATTCTTTATCGTTGCCCATTTTGTTGGAGGAACTAGAGTTGTACCTTATAACTTAAAAGTACAAGCTGTCGATCGAATTCATATTCAATGAACATAAATAACCATAAGATTCTAACATATATATTATTTTGGTTCAATAGATTGAACAATTAATTCAAAATGTAAAATACGATGAGAGAGTATATATAGTTTATGCATGGAATCTGGTCTATGTCAAATATTCCCTCCGGTCCTTATTATAAAACATTTTGATTTGTTCTACGTTTCACTTAGTATTTTGTTTAATTGAAAGAAAGATCTTAAAAATATTTTTTAATAATTAGGAGAACACAATGAATGTGAGAATATAGTTTTAAGGTTTTTTTCTCAATCGGAAAAAATTTAATACGAATCAAAATACCTTATAATAAGAACGGAGGGATTATCTTTAATGAAAATAAGACAAAATGGGGGACAAAAATAAGAACAACAAATCAATTGAAGCACTTCATTTGTCTGTATATAGGCCATTTCTCTAAGGAGTAATGTTACAACTTAGAGAACATACAAACGTTAAGGTTGACAAGGATTTTTAGTTTCTAGCTTAATGTGTAGATTGTTTCACAAGGTTACACGTGATTAATTCTTGATAATTCATTAAACGGTTTGGAAATCCAAGAGTTTGAACCTCCAGTTATAATTTGTTTCAAAATCAATTCGATCATCAAGGGCATTTAGGATTTCTTCCTGGACCTCCATACGAAATGTAATCTCCCAAATCGGGGTTATAACCAAACTTTATACTATAGCAATTTGGTTGTGGAGCAAAGAGCTTTGGAGAGTCGAGGTGTCTTGAATATCCGGACTCATTAAATACTTGGACTGCTCTCATATAAGCTGCTCCCTTGAGATGGCCTTCTTTAGGAAAATGGCCATTTCCCATTTGAGTTGTTGTACTTTGTTTTCCATCAATTTGCGAGTTGAACACCATTCCTCCCCATGCAACGAATGATGCTGGATTTTTGTTCAGACTGGTAAATAATGAAAATGGCCAATAACCAATTGTTATGCCATTCATTTCCAGCTCCCAACCATGATGACCCTATAATATATAGTGATGATCATGGAAATTAGGTTAAAAAGGAGATCAAAAAAACTATATATATAAGTATATTGTTCTTGTATTCAAAATCATTTTGACTATTACCTTAAAGATAATCAAGGAAAATTCAGTTGGCAAACCATCTTTGTCGGAGACAACAAGAAAAGGTGCTCCTAATGCAATTTCTTTGCTAGTTTGCACAAATCCTGGACATTGCAAGTTGTAGCATCCAGTAGACTTGAAATTGTCGCTCTATTCATTTTCCACAGGTTTGGGAAAAAAGAAGTGTTAATTACTCTGGTAGATCCGATGATAAACTAGATATCAAGGGGTATTAGATGCATGAATTTCTTGATACTTACTGTCCAGAAAGTATAAAATCTTGTCCTGTTGTCTCCATATAATTCTGGATACACCTGTTTTAAGTTTTCAAACAACCGAAGAAATTTAATTTCTTGGTAGTTACAATTTATATAACAAAATTTAGGATTGTGAAATTAGACAATTGGGTACATTGAATTACGTAATAAATTTCTTTGTTTTTAAAGAAAGAAAAACATACATGCCAACCAGCTACAATTACATTCTGATCGGAACCAGAACCTCCAACAATCCAAATCTGCGATGAACTGACTTCATTGGGCCTAACCTCGGGGCTCCATATGTTAATAAAAGCCATTGCTCCATAGTACTCTTCTCCAGCCACGGACACAGTTGCATACTATATACCAAAATCAATGTTAATCCCCCAAAAAAAAAACAAAAACAAAAAACTAATTAATTAATTATACAATATCGATTGTAACCTGCTCAAAACCACTGGTGGTGGTGGAAAAAATATTATTAATCTCTGCATCTAAGGTTGCTTGAAAATTTCTTCCATGATAATTGAGGGAGTAAGCTTTAAACTTCTCTTCTTCACTTGTTCTTCTCACAGCAACTGTTCCATCTGGACAACTCCCATCTAACTGCCATGATTGTATTGCTGAGTTCTTAGCATTACCCTGAGAACTACGCTTATCAAGCAAGGCATGATCAAATGCTGGTTGGTTAGAGCTATCCACGCAATCAATCACATCGCCGTCTCTACTCTGTGAAACATGAATATCATAACGTGAATGATAAGTACAAAGTGCATTTTGTTGAATTAAAATATTTTAACACGCATATATGTAGAGAATTTTTTTCTGAACAAAGGATCGAGATTTGATGACTCGCCGTCAGGCGTCAGACCGTGGTTGAAGCATGATATAATAAGTGTTACATATCCTAAAAATGTGTTAAGTTGAAACTAGACTTGTTACCTCTCTTTCTGTAATAAAATAAATAAATAATTAACCTTGATGGACTTCACTGGAGTAGTACTCTGGTCGAAGTGGCTCAATCTGGAGCCACTACATACGTTCATTCCTATAAAAAATAACATGAAACAGGAACACATTAATGCTTTGAACTCCATTTGATCGTCGCAACAATTTCGCTAGCTACTCTTCAAAGCTTGTGAAGGAATGTGTTTTCTATGATATTCTGGCTTATGTATCGGTATTTATAAGTTATTAAAGTTAATGGATTTAACATTTTCTGCCTTTTTTGAGTACTCCAAAACAAATACTAAAAAGCAAGAAATCAGTTTTAAAAGAAATTACGTTGGTGACATCGAAAATGGATCTTTCCAATTATGATAGTTATCGTTTCATTTTTATAATAAAATAGGAAAGTTTCCTACTATTAGGCTGTGAAAGAACCACTCGCAGGGCTGCATATTCACTTGCTAAAAAGGGCTTGAAAAGGTTAAATAATAACGAAAAAGGAGGAAATTTATTGAGGTTATCGAGATCAAAGATTTGATTTTAATTATTTAAAAACATTTTTTTTAAGTTTACATAAGAAGGATGAAAAATGCTTGAAACATCCCTGATTTGCATTTCTTTTAGAAAACAGTTGATATAGAAAAGGGTTCGACGCTTAAAGAAAGAGATAGAAGAAGGTAAGTAATTAATTTTATACCCCAGAAAAGAAGGGGAAAGTAATGAAGAGGAAAAGGAGAAGTTTGAGGTTGTGAAATATCACTAGCTATGACGATGGTTTTTGTGAGTTTTGTGTTGTTAAAAAAGTTTACATATATTTGAAATATTGAAAAGTTAACCTCTTTGAATAAAAAAAAAAAAAACCCTGGTGGAAAATGTTTGAGATTGAAAATGTTTTACTTAAAATCGAAAACCAATTAGGGACATCAAGAATAAATTCAAAAGAGAGAAAAAAAATACAGAGTAATAAACAAGCATTTTTTATTATTAAAAAAATAATAATAAAAAATAACCGGAATGGCCTCAGCCTCGAGCTCCTGGTAATAAACTTGCATGTTCATTTGATGTATTTGGATTAATGTTGAACAGGATTCACATTGTCAAATTCTCAAATTCTCAAATTTTGCCGACCCTTTCAAACTCTTATCACATTTATAGATAGAAGATTCGCGTACAAACTAAAACGGCTAAAGTTATCAGAGCCTATTTGACGGAGCCTCTCTCTCTCTCCTTCTTACATTTAACAGAAAAATGTAACTTGAAAAAATAATCTCATTCCAGATTTTTTTTTAAAAGAAAAATAAATCCAAATCGAAATCTGGTTTACAATTGTTTCTATAGGAAAATGAGAGCATTTCATAAGACGGTTGATCGAGTTAAGAATAACTTTGCCGGATATTTCAAAAGATTGAAGGAAAAAAGAAACAAAAACAAAAACAAAAAGGAATGAGTATAGCTAGATTCAGACAAGGAAAAGCACGCATGATACATTACAAGTCTAAGCCTCTGTTTGATAATCACTTAATATAGTGACTTAATTTATTTAAGTACTTAATGAAATTAAGTGTGTTTGATAATCACTACTAAAAAGTCTTAATGAATTAAGTTCTGAACTAATTAAGTACTTATAAATTAAGTGCATTTGATAATTAAAATTTCACTATCTGAATTAATTAAGTGCGTCTGAATGTCCAGTTCAACTGTGAGCCAGAAAATAAGTGATAGGCTTACCACTTATCACTTATCACTTAATTTCTGTAATGATTTTTTTTTCTTTTTTATTTTTTTCCTTCGTCTTTATTTCGACGCTTATTTTTACATTGTTTTAAAATTTTTATTTTCTTAAGATGAATTAATTAAGAGTGCTTAAAGTTAAATTTATATTATGAGTATAAAAGATCTCAAACTTTCAAACTCAAATTAAACTAATTTTAATACATAAAATTTGCTAAATAACAAGGTATACATATATATGTAATAATCTAAATTTAATTATATATCGATTATTTACCAAGTGTAATATCTACTTTCATTATATATACCAAAAACTTATTTTAAAATTATGATTATATTATTTAGAACAAAATATTATTTATTTCTCTATTTAAAAGAATTTTGTTTATAATTCAATTTTAATAATATTAAAAATTTTAAATAATTTTCAAACCTGAGTATTCAGATTCAGTCTTCAGACTTCAGACTTCAGTTTTCAGACATCAAATTCAGACGTTTTTATCAAACAATGTAAATTCAGTCTTCAAACTTCAGACTTCAGTGTTAAGTGTTAAGTGTTCAGATTCAGACTTCAGTGATTATCAAACGGAGCCTAAGTCGATGTCCGGACTTACTTTTTAGTTGCCAAAAAAAAAAAATTTATATGTACAATTAATTAATGTTTGATGCGAACCATAGCGGGCAGCACAAAATTTGAAATGGGAAAAATGATAAATGCTTTAGGGAAAGAACAAATAAGTACTATAATTATTTTGTCTTCTCATTAGGAGACCATTTCAAATGAAAAAAAATACGATAACTGAAAGCACAACTCGGCCGGAAAGGGTTGTTTTGCGATCTAATTTTTTTCAATACAAATTGTTTACTTTCAAATAAAAATTTAAATTAAACAGCCCTTTTTGGATTGAGAGAGTATAATATCACAAATTTTACTGATTATATTCTCAAAAAATTAAAGTTCAACTAAATATTTGTGACAGATTATGACGGATTATGAATCTTATGGTTAAAGCACCGCCCTGTTAAGGCGGAAGCTGCGGTTTCGATCTCCATCCGATGGTTCCAATAAAAGGACATCAATCAAGTCATCTCTTTTAAATATATTTCATTAGGAAAAAGGTCATATAACTACCAAAAAAGGGATAGCATCATCCCCATGTATATGGAGTTTTGAAAAATCCAAACATCTATAAAGATAAAGAAAAATTTATTTCCAATTTTTTCGTGGTCGCATATAACTCATCTAAGTGCCTCATGTATCACTATCACTCTCGGAAAATGGCTCGCCGCAGGAAGAAGGAAAATCTTTTCCATCTCTTAGGTTGTTAAATACTGTATATTTGATGAATTGGCATGTCCTTAAAAGGGAAGATATTAAAGGTCTTTTAGTTTAGTTGCCTTGGATGATATCTGTGCTCTAGTTAGAATTACAAAATCTTCCGATTCAATTACAGGATTTTAAGATTTCGGACACTAAATACATAATATACCAAAATAAAAACCGCTTATTTCTGTTCATCTTTGGAAACAAAATCATACAAAATGGTAAAATGATATTAATAACGCCAATTAATTAAAAACTTCATTTGTCTATATACAAAATATAAATTAATTCGAGAAATATATAACTTGAAACTGTAAAAATTACTCTACAATACAAATAGATGTTCAACTGCAAAATAGATACGCGATAATATTGGTGAAATGTTACACTGGGAGAACATAGGACAACGTTGCACATTTTCTTACCACGTAAAAGAAGATTTTGTAACTTCATGTGTTGACTGTATCACAAAGTTGCATTTGATTGATTATGGAATTCATTGAACGTTTTGGAAATACAAGAGGGTTTGAAACGTGAAACAACAAGGAAATTAATTAATGTGTAACCTTAGAAGTCATAAATATCATGGGCATTTAGGGTTTCTTCCTGGACCTCCATATAAAATATAATCTCCCCAAATCGCCATTTTTTTCCAATGTTATGTTATAGCAATTTGGTTGGGAAGCTGAGACAATTGGAGAGTCTAGACTTCTTAAGTTCAAGTTCTCGTCAACAACTTGGAGAGATATCATGTAACTTGTTTTCCCAAGACCTTCGTCTGGAAAAAGGCCACTTCCCATTTGAGTTGTTGTACTTTGTTTCCCATCAATTTGTGAGTTAAAAACCAATCCTCCCCATTGAATAGATGATGCTGGATTGTTGTTAAGGCTTGTAAATAGTGAAAATGGCCAATAACCAAATGTAATGCCCTCCATTTCCAGTACCCAACCATGATGACCCTAGCATTAGCAATCATAGAAATCAGATAAAAAGGGGATAAAAATTGGTGTTAGCACTTGTATTTCATACTTGCAAAAAACTTGATAAAAAAAAAAATAACAATCTGAAAAGAAATTATCGTTACATGTTAAGATTTAGGCATTAATTGTGTTTTTAATTTTTTATTTATATTAACGAAATCGGGGAAATGATGATGTCAAATTCCATTCTGGTTCCAAAAAAAAACTTCCTCAAACACACTATTTTTGAGAGCCAGATCAGTAAATAGTGGGTGTTGTTTTGTTTGTTGTCGTTGTTCCACTTCCCAAGAAAAAGATTTATAAACCTACTTAAAACTATTAACTAGTGGTAAGCAGGATTGTTCCACAGAGATGGCAGTCAACCACTTAAAATCTGATTAAAGTGCAGAAAGAAAAGATAATGAGTTGAACATATTGCCACTTAGGAGAGTGAGAATAGTCAATTGACAGAATGAAGAGGTGGAAGGGTCAATCATCTTCCTATCTTTAGGATCCGGTTTTGATTCAAATATTCCTGTTGTGTATGATTAGTTGTTCGATCAGGCACTTATATTCTTTATAATTTCTTCCAGACAGAATAAAGAGTCCTACATTATCTAAATCACCTACCTTCCAGTCAGAAAAATTCATTAATCTAAGCTATTGAGTTCTTAAGCTCTCTTTGATCGCCTATGCCATTCACCTAACTTCCGTTGATGTTTGGAACCGCAAGCTAGATTCCTCCATTGTCATAGACTAGATTAAGCAATTCTAAGGTTATGCCCCCCATCCAGATCTTCATAACCATACAAGCACATTTAATTAAGTAGCTAAGAAAATTAAAAGGTTAATTAAATCACTTATTTAGGCACAACACCTCATCAAGGAAACTGAATCAAAACCTTCACATAAAGATAATAGGGATTGAACCTTTAACTGAGTTAACTACTCATGTTTATTGAGTTAAACATGAGAGCAACAAAGTAGAAAAGATAAGACATGAATCTAGATCAAAAGGTCAGGGGAAAGAAAGGGAAGATGGTAGCAGGGACCGTTTCTGCCTGCCCACTGACAAAGTGACAGT